TTAATGGTCCCAAGGGTCTTTTCCAACCTGAGGAAGGCCAAGGAGATGCTCTTCTGTAAGACTGACAGTGATAGTAATGAATAATAATCCCATAAAACATTTGCCAGTGTTCAGTGCTGATTTTAGTAATACAAAGCAGAGATGCCTTGGACAAGATCAACTTATTGTTGGTGACTTACTTAAAGACAGAAATACAGGATGTGTAAAGATAGAAAGTAATGGCAGAAGAGGCGTATTTTGTATGGGTGTAGCTGAAGGGATGGTTCTTTCAGAGGACTTCTGGAACCTGCAGATTTATTCGTCTGAGAGCCACGCAGGGGAGAGAGAGAAACTCCTGGAAGAAGACCTCAATTTCTCTTTCTTTCTTGGCTGCAGGAAATTTCCACAGCAAAGCCTCAGTGATCATGGTGGATGAGCTGCTGTCTGCCTACCCACATCAGCTTTCTTTTTCCGAGGCTGGGCTCCGGATCATGATAACCAGCCACTTTCCTCCCAAAACACGTCTCTCCATGGCCAGCCGCATGCTGATCAATGAGGTACGTCTTTTATCACCCTCCCTGTCTTCTTCTGAATTTGCCTTTTTCTGTAGCAGTGTTTGGGTCAATATGGAACTTATGTGTTCTTTTGGATCTCTGATAGCATTTTCTCAGATTTTATCCTTTTGGCACTGACTTCACTAAATCATCCCTTGCTGTCTATCCCTATGGAGATTTTAGCAGAGGAAGTTTCAAGTTTTTATGTAGTTGTGTTACCTGTAGATGTTGCTTAAAGGAGGTGCCCCTTGCATTGATCTGACATTAATATCATTTGCAGTTTTTTAGTAATATGGTACTCCAGTGAGCCTTCATGTCGTCTGGCCCTGGTCTTGGAGTACTCCTGGGGTCAATTCTACAGCCACTGGTCCTTCTTCTGTAGGAGTCATCTGCACACAAGCATCATGTTTTACCTGACCAAAATTATCCCTTTTGCTTTTAAAACCGAATTTTTCAAGAATTCTACTCATCTCTCTTTCTCTGTTCCTCCCTTACTCTTAGAAAAATTGAATTTTTAAAAAAATCTCTTTCAGCAAGACTTTATGCCTGTATTTACAGAGACAAAGGCTGATCAACAGCAGGACTTACACCAATGGTGAGTCAGAAGTAGCGATCAAAATACCTATCAAGCACGTGGTTGAGAATGGAACAGGCCCCAGCAACTCTGCCGATCGAGGTGTGAATGGCACACGGCGGGACGACGACGTGGCTGAGGCTGGGAACGAGATCGAGAATGAGAATGAGGATAACGAGAACAACGAAAACGATGAGGAAGAGGAAGAAGATGATGACGATGATGACCATGAAGGGCCATACACACCTTTTGACCTACCCAGTAAGAAGCTTCTGCATTTGTTTTGTTCCACACAGCAAAACTCAGTTTGGGTATGCCAGAAAGCATCCCAGACGTCTGTCGAAGTAGAATTGTCTCTGAGAGCTTCCATCAACCTGCAGCTTGCAGTGTAGTTCCTGGTCACCGATAAAAGGTGAGAGGAACTGGGAAGCAGCAGGAACTTCTCAGGATGCAAACTCCTGGGCTTGGAGGCACCTCTGCTGCAGCTCATGCCTTGGCCTGGTGTGGCTGTTGCAGTCAGTGGGGAGGACCAGCAATCTCCAGAGGGTGGTTCCTGCCCTCAAAACCTGGGTCACCCTCTGGAGACACCCATCGCTGCTTACTGTGGAGGAAGCTAAGGGTGGTGGGGCTGCTGGTGAGATGCGTCTGCACCTAGACCTCAACTTTGCTGGGAAGGGAGGGACACTCTCACCTCGGTGGTAAGGAGCAGTGCTAACAGAGACAAGGCAGTGGTGGTGTTGATGTGGAGTGGAGGTAAAAGAAGGTCCTGGACACCTCTGCTTCCTGCTGTTGACTGGCCACAGCCACAGTGTCTTCTCACTCTTTCTGGAGGGCTCAGAAAGTCAGGACAGGTACATGACTTGTGAAAGCACATGTGCTGAGCACTGCGCCTGCAGGATGGAGATCTCCTTTTGCCAGGTCCATCTTACCCTATCGAGGCTCTAATCCCAGGATGATTATAACATATCCCTGCCCTGCCTTTGACTCACAGTTGCCACAGCTGGCAAGGACTACTGTGTTACAGATAAACCAGAATGTTGTGGGGATTGGTCCTGACCGTTACAGGTGAGATACATTTTTGGGAGCTCCTGTTCAGATGTCCTTACTCAAACAACATAGCTGTAGTTTGAGTAAGGAAAAAACCTGAGCCTTAAGAGAGAGTAATTAGATGTCCTATGGACCGTGACACTAGATTCATAGTATGGGAAAGGTTGGCATGGACCTCTGGAAATCTCTGGTTCAAACCCCTGCTCAAAACAGGTTGCCCAAGGCTGCCTCCAGTTGAGGTTTGATTATTTATAAGGATGGAGTACCTACTGCCTCAAGTTGAGGTTTGATTATTTATAAGTATGGGTACCTCTTCCAGTGTCTGGCCACCCTTGACATAGAAAAAAAAAAAAAAAATGTGCAGCTTACGGTAGCATCTGTTCTGGATTACCCTTCTCGCAAGCTGAATCCATTAGCTTTTATAATTTCCTTGTGCATTTCTGTGAAGGCACAGGTTCCATCTTTTCTGTACCCTCCCAATAGGTGGTCAAAGATGGATCAGATCTCTGTTTAGAACTTGCTTTTACTCGTACATATAAGAACTTGACCCAGGGAGGGTAGCAGGTTTGATGCGACCTGTTACATTAAACATTCCCAGGGAGGTACTTCATACTCCTTCCCTGTGCCCTTCCCTGCCCTCCCATCACACTGTCATCTTCTGAACAAGGATTGTCTGTGTTAGGCTGAGGTGTCCCTGACATCTTGCTTGGTCGTATTAACACTAACATTCTGGACTAAAGCAGACTAGAATTGTGATTGTTTTCCTTTTGTTGTTTTACAGCTGGCAAGATAGAAATCTTGAAGTGGCTCTTCACGTGGCCGTTGAGTTTTGTCCTGTACTTCACAGTGCCCAACTGTAACAAACCCCACTTGGAAAAATGGTTCATGGTTACCTTTGCTTCTTCTACCCTCTGGATTGCAGCTTTCTCCTACATGATGGTGTGGATGGTACGTACCACCTAAAGCAGAAACCTGGTAGAGGCAGCAAAAGTGGGTTCTGTCATCCCAGAGAAACGTGTAATAAGTTCTACATACCTGAATTTTTAGATGAGAAGCTGTAAACCTGCTTCCATTTCTATTAGACCTGTCTGTTAGACACTTAGAGAAGAAGATTAGAGGCCAATAGCCATGGCTGTTGGTTCAGGGATGGAATTTCACCCAGATTCTTTAACGTAGGAAGAAACTACCTTTGCACCAGTTTAATGCCTCCTTGTTGTGCAAAGGAGTGTAAAGAGGTCCTGGTTCCGGTAAGAGTCTGACCCTAATAGCTTTTCCTTTTCTCGGGGCAAGGAGCTTGAGAGACAGTAGTTGATGGTAAGGCTTTGAAGTCAGCCTGAACAAAAGCAAGACATTCAGCCAAATTCTTGCACAACTACTCTAGTCAACAGCAACTTAAGTCTACCTCATTATCCTAGAGGTAAAAGGGGATAAGTAAAAATGTGCACAAGGAAATCCAAGCATAGTTGGCCCTGACTGGGTCACTGAGTCTGTTAGCTTGCTTCAGGTCTCATTGTGTGGTGCGGGTAGGTGAAAAGTGTAAGTTGTGCTCGTTAGGATGACAGCAGTACTGCAGCGTGGGTCGTGTTCTTTTTGCAGCAGTCTGTACTCTTAAACAGACTCAGACAACGATGGGTCGTTGATATTGGGAGAGGGTCTCACAAGGGAAGCCTGGTTTTGGGCTGCTGTGCTTGCACTGGAGCACATGAGTTGTTGTCTCTCTCTTCGTGGGACCGGGAGAGCACAGAGATACCTCTCTAAAGCACTGCCTGCGGCTTCCCTGCTGGGAAGGGGGCAAGAAGACAAACAGAACAAAGAAAACCTTCACTGCCTTCACAGTTCATTCCTGTGCCAAGCTTTTCCCTGCAAACTAACAAAAGGAGTTACAGAAGAGGGGCGATTATTTTGTTTTGTTTTCAATATGACCCTGAAAAAGGAAAAAGAAAGTTACTTGTTTCTTTCTGCTTTTCATCTGTGAGGGTGTTTTTTTCAAGAATCTTGCATTTTGCAGAATTGGGCCAAGCTGGTCCCTGATTTTAATTCTCGTGAACAGCTTGACAGTTTATTTCCTCTCCTTAGGTGACAATCATTGGCTACACGCTGGGAATTCCAGATGTGATCATGGGCATCACTTTCTTGGCAGCTGGAACCAGCGTGCCGGACTGCATGGCAAGCCTTATCGTAGCAAGGCAAGGTAGGTCCGTCACGGAGATGTGGAAGTGCTATGGAAGTGCTCCCTTGTGTCTTCTTCCTCTCTAGGTAGCACACGTGTCCTGTGAAAATGTACTGAGCCCTGTTTCTGAGGCTGAAATTTAAAACAAGAGCAAAGAAGGAAATGAATTGTGTTGCTGTTGCAAAGCAGCTAACAGCTTCTTAACGACAAAACAAGGTTTTAGCACTCTTGTACAAACTTCAAGCCTCCCCCACAAGTCACCATGACTTTCTTAATTTAACTGTCAGTGGTATGGAGTTGCTTAGAACATGGCATAAGGGTCTGTCAGGTCAATTTTCCACAGCAGAGGGTTAGGTGAGGGAAGTTCTCAGGAAATCCTAGAATGTGGATTCACCCCCTTCAAACTAGCTTCCTTGTGTGATGGAAAGGGGAAGGGGGGAGGATGGAGTGGGAGGGATCTCCCCTTAACTCTTTGTCTTAATCTGTGGAAATTGTCTGGGTTAGGTCAGATTAATGTATTTCTGTTTAAAAGTTGAAAGACTTTTCTGACCTGCGTCTGACTGCACGTGGTTTCCATTCCTGCAGGTATGGGGGATATGGCTGTGTCCAATTCCATCGGAAGCAATGTTTTTGATATTTTAATTGGCCTAGGCCTCCCGTGGGCTTTGCAGACCCTAGCAGTGAATTATGGATCATACGTAAGTCCTACATTTGTTCACATGATTCTTTTTTATTTATTCAACGCGTTATTTTTTTATATGTAAAACAATTCTATTTAGAAAAAAAAAATCCAAAATTAATTCTCTGAATTGTATTTGAAGAAACAATTTGGGAGAAGTAGCTGTTACAAATTTGGGAAAAGTAGCAGTTAATTGTCAGTGGGCATTCACCATTTTTTGGAGGACAGGTACTTCCATTTCTTCCTTAAAGGCAGCAGTCTGTGCTGAAAGAAGCTAAGTCACTAGAGTAAACTGTGGTTTTCATGCACTTGAATACATTCCAAATACGGAGAATGATCCTGGTTTTAATAAGCCAGAGGGGATAAAAACATAGGTTTAAAGTAGAGGATAGAGCAGACCTGTTAGGGCCTTTGGCAAGAGAAATTCTAGCATTACTAAGCTGTTAACACACTGAAAGGTGAGGGAAGCTGTTAAATACTTGGATATTTCAGAGTGTGACCATCATCAGGAAGCACTTCAGAGCTTTCCAGTTGGAGGAAAGACTACCCAACACCAATAAAACCATCCTTTACTTCCTAAATGATGTTAAAATTTAATGTAGACGAGCCTCCTGGAAGCCCCCTCTGGCCTTATTTTTCTGAAGTCTAAATACTCTGGGCTTTCTCAAGAGTACGGTATTTCTCTAATACTGTACTCTGTAAAGTCGCTGTGTAGCTCTTGTTCCAGGCTGCCTGACTCAGAATCCCCTGTGGCCAAATTTTTCTCCCTCTTAATGCTGACATAGAGTTCAGGCATGTTACTGAGCAGAAATGGAGAAGAGGATCAGCTGCCTCGCTTTCCCTTGTCTGTCTCTATGCTGCAGCACACGAACGTGTGTGGCAGCCTGGTGTCCTGCAACTATGTGCATTCTGAACTTTCTCAGCCACTTGAGGTAAAGTTGGCTTCACAGAGGAACCAACCAAGATTGCTCCCAAACAGAAGATTTGTGGGGTTTCATTCTGAATATGAAGAGCAGTCTCGCTTCTAATGGCACTTCCGCCTGCTGTAGCACCCTGTGTAGGGTGAGCTTTCATTTTAGTCCTCCTTAAACTCCCTAAGGGCAGGAGGGTGTTCCAGAGTCCATTTTACAGCTGGTGCATTTTGATTTGAGCTAAGCAGAGAGCTTTGGATGAGATGCAGGCTGCAGACTTGTGGCTGGCAGCGAGACATGGATATATTGAAAACATTGTCCTGCAAGGTCCCAGTTACTGCCTAGATATGTCATACGCCTGCAACCACAAGAAGCCCCGTGCAGAATCAAGACTTCTTGTTCAAAACAAATTTGCTCTATGAGATAGTGCCCGAGGGGGAAAAATACAGGTTGTGATCTAGCAGATAAGACAGGAGAAGAGCAAGAGAAGACCTGTCAAAGAGTGGCAGAACTGGAAATAGACTGTGAATCTCTTGAGACACATCTTGGTACTGGATTGTTAAATCACAATCATTTTGGTTAAGTGTTTCTCCCACTTCTGACTGCCTCTTTCCTAGGCCTATTGTTGATGGCTGTTTCAGCTCATTATTTATTTTATTCTTCCTTTCTTTTACAAGAAAGGAACGGAAAAGCATCTTTTGCTTCTCAGGCTGCATCTTGGAAACATCTGTCACTTGTATGAGAGCAGGAAATTCCCCTTCAAATGAAGCATTTCTCTGTAGGATGTGGTTAGACCTCTAGTGGAGACTGCAGGGCAGTCACAGCCCCAGCCTGGGCAGGGGGGCTGCCCCAGTTGACATGATGTAGGAAGCTGGCACATCAGGCAGGGCTTTGCAAAACCCCTGTATGCTCCTGGGCACCGCTCTGTGATACCACTTGCCCTGCCTCACCTGTGTGTCTCTGAGCCAAGTCTGTATTCGTGTAATCATCAATGTGCAATACTGCACTTTTATTCTTTTCCTTCCAGCAATTACTGGAATCAGTTGAAACCCAAGCCAGAGAACGCTCCATCTAATGCTTCTCCAGGAAAATGTTAGTGTGTGTGCAGAGAGGAAACGATCCTTCTCTCCACTCACCCTTCAGCTCAGTTGTCAGTCCCACAGTTCTTGGTTTGGGCCAGGCCACTGATACTTTTCCCATCAAAAGGCAGATCTAGTCAATAGCAAACAGCTTCCACATCAGATGCCTTCTGTTTCTACAATGTCTACTCTCTAACCTGACTATACGTTTATTATTTTAAGAGTCCTTGTTATTTCTGGACACCTATTAATGTTCTGGTACTAACTCTGCCTTACTATGCTTCCCAGGGCAGCTTCCATCTCCACCACTCAGAGGTCACTTGGCCACCCTCGTGCTGCACCTCTGGCCTTCTGTTATCAATCACAGCTAGTCTAGCATGCCAGCAGGGCTTTCGGAGAAAAAGCAGCATTCTTCTGGTCCTAGAGAGACCTTTGGAAGGGTTCACTTTCTCATCTCTTCTAACTCTGAGTCCTGGACACAGTGCTGACTTTGTAATCCTGTAAGCATCCTTCCCCAGTGGCCCTGGCAAATCCAGAATAGAAGGACATTTGCTCCATGTCTTATATCCAATTGCTTCCCTCTGTAATCTTCTTTTTTTTTTTTTATCTGGATGTGATACTCTAAACCAGGCATCAGCCAGGAGCATTTTGGAGAAGAGGGATTTTAGCCTAGAGGATAAACAGCCAGGTCCATTTGTTCACATCAGCATTTGGGAGTATAATCATATTCCTGTCCATGACTCCTCTGCCTGGTAACTTTAGCTAGTTTCAGCAAAATTTGACAGTAAGTTAGAAGTCTTAAAGACATCACATTCCTTTCCTGCAAACAGGCAGCTAGAGACAGGAGTAACCCCGGCACAAGCCCTGTTAGGCATTAGAGAATTCAGAGGGAAGTGAGTGCTTGAGAAACACACATCGAGACAGCGTCACTGCTTTGGTGCTCACTGACCAGTTTGCTGTTCCCTGTTTTAATTCCAAGGCACTGTGATAAATCTTGTGAGATTAGGACAAAGCTGGCCTTTGTCCCCTCACGGCCCACATCTATATGTCTGTTCCCCGCCCCATTGTGGTCCAGGTGTCTGCATGCAGACCCATCTTAAATCCTCTGAGGGAAGAGGGCAGGTAGGTTCAGTGGATCTGTCAGTCATGGGGCAAACATTAAGATTGAGGATAGTAGGAGAGTAGTGACTAAGTGTCTGCAGGGATCCCTGCTTCCCACGGCATCACCATTTGCTTCTGCAGATGTTACTCCTCCTGCTCTGGGGTGCCAGGCTCTTACTGGGTTAATTTATTGGCTGATTCCAAAAACCCATGGGTGTGCACAGCAGCAGATGCACACTGAAACTAATAAGTCATCCCTGCAGCTTCCTGGGGTTGTTTGCATTGAGAGCGTTTGCCCCCTGGCTTCATGATGGGGAGACTGGATTATACTATAGTAGAGCAGAAGTGTCTGCTCCCTTGAAAAGCTCCTAACCGCACAGGAGTTCTCTCCAGCTGTAACCCCTGCTTTTCTTGCTTAATGCTTTGAGTGTCTGTGTGCAGCACTCAATGTTGCGTACTGCAGGGGCTGTGCCCTCTGCAAAGTGAATTGTGTGACACAGAGCAAACCAAGGATACTTCCTCAGGAGCCTCAGCAAAGGCCCAAGAAGGAAATTCCATTGAAACATGCAGGAAGGCAGCACAGGTCGGAAGT